ATCTATCTAATTTTAATTTTAAGATATGATGTTTGTGCATTAATAATTGAGGCATCTGTATAGAAGTAAATATTGTTTGAAAGATTTTTTACTAATAAGAATAATTTAATAAGTTGATTTTAATAGTTGGAGAATGATATGTATTTTTGTATTATTTGTATTTCTATTTTAGGAATGTATATAATTAGAGTTTGAGTTAGTATAAGTGGTAGAGAAGTTTGTTGTAGTATATTGATAAGTGTATAAATTTCATGATTATTAATATTAAGAGAATAGATATTATCTTTTTTGATGACTTAATATTTGGAATATTAATAAAGGTTTGAGGTATTAGTATAGGTGGGTTGGTAGAAGTTAAGGATATTGAGCTATGAGCAATGTTGTTAATTGAGAAAAAATTTAATGAATTCTTTGTAAAAAGAATTTGAGAATTATTAAGAAGAAATGACTATTGATTTAATAATAGTAGGTAATAGGGTGTAAAGATAGGTTCCAAAATCCAAACTTTCCTAAACTCTTTAGGTTTAGGCTATAGTATTAGCTAGTTTTGAATTTGATATTTTTTACCTAAATCCCAAACTCCAAACCAAAACCAAAATCCCAAAATGATTTGGAATCCTAAACCAGTACTGAAATCCCAAATTGATGCCAAAACTCCAAACTGATGCCAAAACCTCAAACTGATACCAAAATCCCAAACTGATACCGAAATCCTGAACTAAATCAATATACTAACTTATTTAGTATATATTTTAGTATTTTAGGATTTCGGCATTAATTTGAGATTTCAGCACTGGTTTGGAATTTAGACCCATCTCTTATTTCACAATTAGGTAATGATTGAACTAATTACTGTATTAGATATTAATCATCATTACGACATTTTTAGAATTAAATCAGAATTACATTTTTGCATGATAGCTAATTTGAGTCTAATAGATAGTATATAAATAGAATTGTTGAATACTAATAAAGAGGACAGAGGTTGGTTTTTTCTTGTACTGATTACACTTTGGATATATTTTCTTGTTCTTGTACACGCGAATAAATTGCTTTTGTATATTGAATAGGTTCTTTGAATTGCGTATACAGATAAAAGTGTATTCTTTTTACTATCAATATACTCCATTTTTATGTTTAAGACCCTGCACTGAATTGGTAACTATAACAGAGGTAAAGGCTAAGGGTGTTCTCAAGCATCTCCCTTAATGTAATTGGCTAGTAATCGAGATCGTACACAAGCAATGCGATTAACTAAATAATTTTGACAATTTTAGCTAAATATTTATAATGATAATGCAAAATGCAGATACTAAATTTTAGCCAAAATATCAGAAAGCATAGGTACAACTGGCCAAAAGATTGGATAAATGCTGGCTAGCCAAAGGTGCTGAAAATAAATTCAATTAAAGGACTTAAAGTTACAGAATACATTGTATGCAATTCCAGCTAAGTAATTCGAACTAAAATGATAATGTGCATCCAGAAAATTAGCAAGATTGTATTAGATATCATCGTAATAGTAGAATAAACATGAAGCAGCATCAGCTGATTGTTTTCTGCTTGCTCAAAGCAGGCTAACTGTTAAATAGAAAAGTAGAAGAATCAAAAAACTATCATGTGTAGTGGAAAAGATTAAGTTGAGAAATTTTAAAGCTATTATGCTGAAGAGTGAAAAAGCGTCAAAAATAAGTTTTGTTGGTTCATATATATATTGATTATGATTAGTAGCATACTTTCTTTTCGATCTGTTGATTCTTGTTAATTAAAAATTGAGCACTGACCTATTAATTTAGACACTTGAGAGCACCCATAGTTTGTCTGCTTTTCTCTCAATTATATACAGTATGTTGCTAATAAGATTATTCATAGTATGAAATGTGATTGAAAAACATGCAATAAGTTTTTTTTTGATGCACTTGGATTGGTTATAGTCAACAAAATAAATATATTTATTCAAGTCACTCAGTAGCAATAATTATGACCCAATTAATGAATCTTATACGAGTTCCCAGTGATTCTTACATGAGTACAATCTCTACATACAGTATTTTATACTTATAATAGTCTAGATAGTTGAAAAAAATTTCATATTTTGTAGTTCTACTTAGAGATGCTGATGAATTTTACTAATATTGGTGAAATATTTTATTATTCTGGTTTAATTTCACCAGCATATATAGTGATTCACAGTATTATTTTATTTTTATTTACAGAAGATGCACTTAAACAATTAATAATATAAATCTACTGTATTTTGATTTATAGTTTCTAAATCAACAGTGAGTTTTAACATGTTTGGGCAAGTATAGTTATTAATACATATGTATAAATAGTTTGAAGCAAAGTTTGAAATCTAATTATATATCTCTCTCAAAACAGTATTTTGGTGGGTTTCAAAGCACGAATTAACAAGTTTAAGCAAAATAAAGTTCCTAGTTGGCTATTGTCATCTATATAATTAGATATCTCTATTTTTGGTATGTATAGTAAAAGCTTTTATTGATCTTTTAAACTCATATATATCCATATGTATTAGATAATTTATGGTTATTCCCATGTTGAGAAAATATCTGAAGGTATTATTAATCTGTAAAAAGCACATATTCTTGCATTAAAACTATGTAGTTATGATTAGTTACTTAATTTGTATATTTTAATCATGTAGAAATTAAAGTATTAGCATGTTCAAAAAAATTTAACATATTATCAAAATTGATATAACTATTCTTTTTAATAAAACATCTATTATATATAATTTCGTTAGATTTTCTTTTTTTGAAAATCAAAAATTAGGATATCAAGTAAAGATAGTAAGTCAGAAAATCTGGATCAATATAATAATAATGATAATAATAATAATAATAATAAAAATTTGGGTAGAAGGCTGCGTGCACCAATTTGGAGCTTTTTTAATAAAGGTAAAGAAATAGATTCAGGTCATCATTCAGTTTCTTGTAAATGTGGTGCATTTTAGAAAAGAGGAAGACCTTCTGCTCTAGAATGGCATATATTAGTTGAATGCAAAAAAGTTGAACCACAAGTTAAAGAAGTCGTACAAAATATGATAGAAGCACGTGAAAGAGAATTAACCCAAAATAAACGTAAAAGAAAAGCAACTGAAGATCAACAAGATATTGATAATTATTTTAAAAGTTTAGCATTAAGCAATGAACAAAAAGCAAACTTTGATTTTGCTCTTATTAAGTTTTTTGTTTGTAGTGGACTTTCTTGGTGACTTGTAGAGCATCCTTTTTTTGTTGAATTTGTTTAACAATTGTGACCATCTTATAGTCCACCTCTTCATAAAACATTAGCTAGCACATTATTAGATAATGAAGTCTTGCGTATTCATACAAAAATTTATAATATGTTAGAAAAAGAAAAAAATTTAACTCTAGGTAAGTAAAATTTTTAAAGATAAAATCTATAATTATTATTATAATTGTTTATCATTTTTAGCATTAGATGGCTGGACGAGCCCTGATGAAAAAGCATTATAGAATTTTATTATTTATACTTCTAATGGTAGTAATATACTTTGGAAAATACATGATTTTTCTGATCGAAGTCATACAGGCCAGTATCTTGCTGAACAAATTGAAAAGGTTTTAAATGATATTGGACATTACAAATTTTCTGCTATTGTAACTAATGCAGGATCAAATATTAGTGCAGCATGATGAATTATTGTTCAAAATTATCCACATATTTTTAATATTTGGTATATTGCACATTGTCTTAACATTATTACTAAAGACTTGCTTAAACATACTTTTGCAACATGAATTATAAATTGGTCAACTGTAATAACATCTTATTTCAATAAGAGTCATCTGCCAAAAAATTTACTCGAATCTAAAATTAAAAAAAAAAGATTAAAGGTGAAGGTTTAAAGACATATGTTAACACACGATAGACTACAGCATATGAAATGCTTTATTCAATTTATCAACTCGAATCAAGTTTAAAAGAAGTATTTAATTATATTTGTTATTATATATATACTATATTACTATTATAATGAATAATTTAATTATACGTAATTAAATATACTAATTATTATTTTATTTTTAAAGGTCATTAATAAAAACTCTAATATTATAACAAGTGAAATAATCTATACTATTATTTTGAGAAAACGAGGATTTTTTCAAGATGTTTATGATTTAATGAATGTTCTCAAATCCGTTAAAAATGCAATCACTTTTTTAGAAAGACAAGATGCAAATCTTGCTAATTGTTTTTTGGGGCTTGCACAACTTGGAGCAACTATTAAAACAATATCAGATGCCAATTACAAAATGTTTCATTATTACTGTATAAAAGTTTTTAATTCTCGCTTTAAAGAATTTGACTTTGATAAGCATTTACTTGCTTATTACTTGCATCCAAGATATCACGGCAAGTATAATTTAAATATATATTTAAATGTATTAAATTATATATTTATAAAATTATAAACTATTATATACGTATTAAAAATTTATTAGATACTAGTGTTGTTGAGGGTCAATTTTTACGAATTAGTACTAGGCGACCACAATATGACAACAATGACGAAAATCAGTAGTGTTATTACAATATTAAAACAAAACAAACATATTAAATGAACAGCAGGCCAGATCTTAGTAGCACAATTATGTGATTATTATGTTAGAAAAGCATCTTATAATGCATCCTATATGGTCAATATTGATAATCCTAAAACATAGTGTGAAACTTGTGAATCAAAATTTCCATATTTGCAATTATTAGCTGTAAAATTGTTTTCTGTTTCATCACATGCAGCTAGCTGTGAACGTATCTGGTTAACTTGTGGCTGGATTTATGGACAACAGTATGTAAATCTTTTAGTTGAAAACATAGATACAATTGCTCAAGTTTATTCATATTATATTGCAAACAATAAGTTTGAATTACCACATTATAGTGAGAACAAATCAGCTGAAGACATTAGAAAGATACTATATAATGCAGACCTTTATGAAGAAACTGATATGATTGACTTTGAACAAGCTATATTAAATGCTAATATTAATCAGTTTAGTGTTGATGATGATAACGATGTTGTTCAAAAAGAGCTTTTTGAAATAGAAGGAACTTTAGATTTGTCAAATACATCATTTTTACCAGAAATGAGTAAACAAACTAAAGTGGATATAGATGTTAATGTTTTAGAGCCAGGATCAAGCAACTGGTTAGAAGAATTTAATCAAGAGGAAGATTATGATCCAGCTGAATTAGGAGAAATGTTTTTTAACAATTAGAATTAGAAGAAATATTAATATTTTTTGTTTTTTTTTTTCTGTACATGTTTGTGCATTTTTTTTCTCGTACATGTTTGTATTTTTTTTGTTTTTTTTCTCGTATATGTTAGTATGTTTTTTTTTCTTGCACATGTGTTTTTTTCTTATACACTTTTTCATATGCATGTTTTATTTTCACTATACGTACATAATTAGGAATTTTACTTTATAATAAATCAGCTTTATGACCAATTTTAATTATAAAATTAAAAAAAAAAGTATCTCAAACTGATTTGAATTGCTTATTTATTTTATAAATTTAATTTATAAAATTTAAGTTAAATGGAATGAACGTAAGTAATTCATACACTATCACATACCTGCTAAAATGGATAATTTTAATCGAACATTTCATTTAGTAACTGAAATTAAGTCAAAAAAAAGATGATTACAAAGGATCCATTTATTATCAAAAATCTGTGAGATGAGAATGCTAATAGAACTATAATATTGGACGTTGCTATAACATTGAAAAAAAATATGCATATGAAATTCGTAAATTCGTTAATACGTTTATAGAAGATATTTATTGCATGATGGTCGATTCTGCACTACTAATCATATTAATATGAAATCAAAAAGTAAATTATTTAATTAACTTAAATTCTATCTAGACAATTGTTCAATTAATCTACATGGATAACTATTACTATTGTTTTATTTACAGTTACCCAGATAGCCCTTACTCAGGTTTAACTCTTACTCTTTATAAATTTGAAACATTTAATTTTTGTCTAAAAAATACTAAAATTGCAAATTTGTAAAATCAACTTATAGACAGTCATAACAATTGAAAAGCTAAAGAGTTAATATAATATTTGTGATATTAATGAATAAATGTAATTTCTATCTTTATATATATAACTATTAAAAATAGTAAAACTATAATAAATCACATTGAAATGAACTTTAAGAATTTGTTTATTATCAAAAATCATACAAAATATTACAGAAGTTAAAAAGGCATTTGAATATTATCATGATATATACTTATCTATATATTAATATATTTCAAATACTGTAGCTTTTATATAATTCCTATAACACCCAATTTATAGCAATTCTAGTCTCAAATGAATGCTACTGTTTTAGTAATAGTTTAAATTGTTTAGCATTGATTTAGAATTGAGTAGGCACTAATGTTGTATTTCAGCCCTGATTATGGGATTCTGGCACTGGTTTGGTTTTTGGAAAATTATGTCGATTTAGGATTTTAGAATTGATTTGGGATTTCAGTACTGGTTTGAAATTTCGAAATCAGTTTAGGTTTCAGAAAAATCATGATGATTTAGGGTTTTAGCATTAATTTGGGATTTTGGCACTAGTTTGAGATTTTGGCATCAGTTTAGGTTTCAGGAAAATCATAGTAATTTAGGGTTTTAGCATTAATTTGAGATTTCAGCACTGGTTTGGGATTTCAAAATCAGTTTAGATTTCGGAAAAATCATGGTTTTGGCATTAATTTGGGATTTTAACACTGATTTGGGATTTCGGCATCAGTTTGGGATTTTGGCATCAGTTTAGAATTTTGGATTTAGTTTGGGATTTCGGTACTAGTTTGGGATTTCGAAACCAGTTTAGGGTTTTGCAACTTATAACCGAAACCTGAAACCTTTTGGCCCAAGAAAATAGGTTTCAGGACCCAACTCTAATAGGATGTAATTGTATCAAGAGAATTAATAAAGCTATTAATATTAGATAAGTTAAGATGTGGCCATGTTTGGTGAATAGTGTTATTTTAAATAAGGTTACAAAGTTTGGTAAATGAGAAAGATAGTTGTAGTATTATATTAAAGAGTGTAGATATTTGTTTAGATATAAGTTTTTTATATTTAATTAATAAGAAAAAGTTTTCAATTTTGTTTTGAAGCATTTTAAAAGTTGGTTTAGTAAAACTATTTCCATCAAAATAGATACTAAGATATCATATAGTTTCATGTAGTTTATATAAAAGTATTATTTGGTTATTATAATAAAGAGTTGGTATAGTAATATTTAGTTTGTTTTTGTTTTGAGAGATCAGATTTAGTTGGATTAATTTCAATATTGTTAAGATTGTATAGTTGTTGTGTATCATTAAAGATATGTTGAAGGGTTTCAGAATTTTTACTATGCCAAACAGTGTTATTCATAGGAGATATAGTTATTGAAGAGAGTGGAATATTGAAAATAATCTCAAGTGGTGAAGAGAAGATAATTTTAAGTAAGTGGTTGTTATATTTATTATGAATATAAGTCAGAATTGGGTCATAATAAATTTTCCAAAGAAGAGGTGAATATGTTTTACTTTGTTCAATACCTAATTTGATATAAACAAGTGATGTAAGACTATGTGCAGTAATTATTCTTGCTTGTCAGTCTGTATGTAGTTCAGCAATAAGTTGGATTCCTTTAAAAGGAATACTAATTCTTTTGCAAATGTTCTGTAATCAAGATATGTTGATTTTGTCAAAGGCTTTAGACATGTCTTAAAACATTATTCAAGCTTTTTTGTTAAAATGTTTGTAGTATTCAATGATATTGTTAAGGATTTGGATAGAGATATGTGTTGAAGAGTTTTTGGTAGCAGCAAAGTTAAGATTTGAAAAGAGATTATTAGAGTTAATAATATAATTTAGTCTTTGTATAAAGATTTTAGTAAAGCATTTTTTCATTAGTTCTATAATTAAGATTGGGCAAACTTAATTAAGTGTAAAGTCCTATGATAATTTTTTTGAAATAAAGAAATTATTGGAAGTTTTCCAATCGAATAGAATTTTTTGAAGTTGAAAACATTTGTTAATAAATAATTTAAGAGAGATTTGGCTAATATGGTCTACATATTTAATATGTTTATAGTTTGTTTCAAAGAGACCTACAGCTTTTTGAAAAAGAAGATTTTGAATAGTATTTTGCCATTCATTATCAGAGATATTGTTGAATAAGTTTTGGTAATATATTTCAAGTTCAGGATAAGGTTGGTATAGTTGATAGTAATCAGATGTGGGTTGAATTTCTTGAAGAGGTTTTTCATTAAAGTATTCAGTGAAGTGAACATGAATAGCTTGTTTAATATGATCTTCTTCTGTTAATAAAAAGTTATTTGTTAGAAGTCTATCAATATGTATGCTATTATATTTTTCAAGAATGTTTTTAAAGAATTTTTTAGGTTGTGATTGGAAAAGTTAATTGTGATCCTCAATTTTTTATTGAATTTCTTTTTAAGTTTGTTGTTGATAGAAGGTATTGAGTGCTAATTTAATTTGATTAAATTCTTGTTTGATTAAGAAGTATAAGTTGTTAGAAGTTTTATTAATAAGGTTTTTAGGATATTTGGTTGTATATTTCTTAAGAAGATTATAAAAGTTGGATGATTGTAGATAGTTTTTTAAATATTGTATTTGTTTATATCTGTAAAAGAGTACATGTCATTTGGAAGGTTTGTCATCTCTAATTTTCTGAATTGTTTTAATATTTTTGTAAAAAATGTTTTTTAAAGCAGCTTTAGTAAGTGCTTTAAGTATTTTATTTCAAATTAAGTTAAGTTCATTTTGATTTGAAATGTTGAATATTTGGTTTTGTAATTGGCATAGACTTTGTGAAGTTTGATTTGAGTAATTTTTAATATTTTTCTTTGAGCAAGATTTTCAAAGAAAGTTTTTCCTTATATGTTGTTTAAAGGGGTTTTTTTGTTGATAGTTATAGAAATTTCAAGAATAATAATTTTATGATCTGATTCAGAAGAGATATCCTCAAGGATATCAGTATATTCAATTTGAGATATATTTAAGTTTGTCCATATTTGGTCAATTCTGCTATTAGAAGTTGAGCAAGAGAATATAAAATTTAATATTGTAAAAATGAAAAATCAATATATATCTTTAAATTGATGACTGATTAAGTATTTGAGGATTTGAGATTCTGGAATAGAAGTGTTTTTTGGAGGATTTTTATCTTGGAAAGATTTGGAACACTGTTGAAATTACTAAGTATTATAAGTTGGTAGTTAGAATTGTTACAGAATAGAATAATTTGTTATTAAATTTTGGCATGCAATTGTTTTTTCTCTGAAGTAGAAAGGTAAATTTGAAGAATACAGATAAAGTTATGTTTAAAATGTAGATCTAAGCCAATTATATGACTATTTTAATTGTGTGTTCTGACAATGTATTTGGAGATTCTTTTATATATAAAAATTTTAACACCTGTTTAGTGAGGATTTTCATAAGAACTCCAAAAGCTGTTATTATTTTGAAGATTTTGATTAAAGAATTTTCCTTCTTTAGAACTAAGATGTGTTTTTGATAATCTAAAAATATTAAAGTTATATTGATTAATAATATCAATGAGTAAGCCTTTTTTGAATATTGAAGTAAATCATTAATATTTAAAGAACTGATTTTTATAGAAATTGAAATAATAAGTTTATATTTTAATTTATAAAAATCTATATTAATTAATAAATAATTTTATAATTAACTAATATATTAAAAATTAATAAATATCTAAAGTAATTAGTTGATATAACTAATTAGAACAACTAATTTTTTATTACATTATTAATTTATTTGGCAAATAAATTGTTTATTTTATAAATATATAAAAACATATAATATAATCAAATTAAAAATATTGATTAGTTATCTTTAACAAATATTGCATAAAATAAAATAAAAGTATAAACATCTTCATTATATTTTAAACAATAATTTAATTAATTTAAAATAAAAATATATTAAATAAACTAATAAAAATTTATAAATAAATTAATATTTTATTTATAACTAATAAAACAAATATATTAAAATTATTATATTAAATATTGCATTTTAATTGATTAATTAAATAAATTTTAATTATATATATTCACTGAATATTTAATGAATTATTTGATGAATAAATTTAATATTTAAATATTCAATTCAGTGAAAATTTATTTATTCAAATATTCAAATATTCAATGAATATTCGAATATAATATTTATCGGATCAGACCTCTAGTTGTGAGATTATATGGTAGTAAATAATTTTCGGAAAAATATCTTGTCTAAGAAAAGGATTGTTGAAAACATGTAATGTCAAATATATGTCTGTCAAAAAAATGTTCTGTATATTATAGCTGTTTTCAAAAGAGATCACATTATAGTATGGTTAAGCAGATCTGTATAGTATAGGCCAAAATTAAAAGGAAGTTATAGTTATACTATACTAATCAGCTATAATTTCTAACTCTAATGCTAATAAATACAAACCAGATCAGTATAGTATAGGTTCTAAAACTCGGCCTATACCATATTGATCTGCTCACTTATATATACTAATCTGCGAAATACTATATACCTATGTGGGAAATCGAAGAATTAGGAAATTCCAATTAGTAAAAATTAAATGTCTGATTAGCACTAGCTCTGAAAATTCTGGAAATCTGGAAAGTTTCAAGATATGATGATCTGCGTCTGTTTACACCTTTTGAAAACGGCTATAAATGTCATGTCAGTATTACTATGTCGAGGAAACAAGTTAGTGGGGAAATAACTTTCGGAAAATTGTCATGTAACCTATAGTATACATAGAGATAGGCACATGCTTGATCCTGTATATGATGTGCAGGATTTTTTTTAGATCCTAAGCAGAATTTTATGTTCCAAAAATAAAATTATCTAACCAGCATTACTAAAACATCAGTTAGCATTAATATAAGATATGGCCTGCATTAACATAATTAATTTATAGTACCAGGAATGAATGTGTATAGAATATATGCTGTTTGAAGTGTGATTTGTCCACTAAATCTTAAGTTATTACAGAGTATAATTTGAATCAAAAATTCAAATGTAAGCAATGTAGTAGTTGTAATAACTAATGATAGAAAAGCAAGAATTTTAGACTCAAAAAGTAGTAATCTAATACAGATTAATTTAATTTATAACGACAGCTAAATTTTTCATAGTGCTAGAACTATATATTATATGTGAAATTTGTTTGTCTCTCATTTTTATGAACTATACTATGAAGAACAATATGCAGATATATCTTTTTCACTTTCGAGCACCTATGCAGTCTTTACAGTTGCTATTACAATTCCTCTTAAATACAGTCAGCTCAACTGGCTACTCTTTCATTATGACTGTCATCTGAATAGGCCATAATTTAAAACTTGCAATTTTAACACTCACCTGCCTACTAATTCACTTTAACTACCATTCTGGCAGGCCAGCTACTAAAATATCACAATGCTTATAGGTAGGGTAGGCAGGGTTGAAATAACCAGAATTAAAGTCAGGGTTATAGAGAAGGCAAAATTACTAATCCTTATTTTTCCAAGCTTTACTAATCTATTAATAAATCTTGCACAGGATCACACACAAGATTTTTAGAGAAACCGTGATTTGCTTCTCTAAGTATACATACATCAATATGTGCTACTAAGAAAAATAATATTTTAGACTTAAGACTTATTATTTACTAGATTTACTGTATCTTGTTAAAATCTGAT